AGAGTTTCTGCAGATTGGAGCTTCCAAAACAGATGGCTTGAAATTTCTGAAGAATCAGACTTGGACACTCTCTTAAAAGTCTACGAAATGCATTATTTAATTATTGTAGTGGAGATAGTGGAGATGGTGTTTGAGTATGGCAGGCTGGAGGGAGGAAGGTCCAACCTTCTTTTGCTCCTCCCCCCTCCCACGCTGATTACCTTATGCTCTCATTTACTTTTCTCCTTTTTACAGAGTTTCTGATTTTTTTTTTTTTTGGATCTTTTTTTTAGTATCACAGCTAGTGCTTTTGCTAATTTCTTATTTCCACTGGCTTAAAATGGAAGTTATTGAGATGTTTATTCTTCTGGCCTTGGGAAGAACTAAAGTCTCCGTATTTATAAGCTAAGGCAGGAAAGAAGAAGATTTGAGCGCTACTGAGGCAATTTTTTCTAACAGTCTACAGGAATAGTCAAGGCAAATTACATAGTTTGCTTTAGGACAAAGCTTGCAAACGTATGCTAATGAAAACAAAAATGACAGCTTGTTCTCAACTAGCAGCTCTTTTCTTGTGTGCTATTTCTGAGACAATTTTTCAAGGAAAAAAATGGAAGTGCGTAGGGATGACTGGCCAGCATAAGGAATAGTGATAACTGTTTAAAAAAAGAGGGGGGGGCAAGAGAGAGAGAAAAAAGTGGTCCGACCACTGAGGCATTCTCATCCTAATAGGAGGCCAGTATAACTGCATCTTTTAACATAATCCTGCCACCCTTGAAAACTTAGAGCATCCTCTGCTTTTGGGAGGAGGAGTATTTATTGCCACACATTTCCAGGGAAAAATAGGACTTTGCATTGATCCTCTTTCTTGTGATGCACTCCCCTTAGAACAAATACATTGCCAGCAAATCCTACCCGAGACTCTGCTTCAAACGCAAACCAGAAAGTGCAGACTGAACAGCTTTTTCTAATTAAAAAAACTCTCAGAGGTCACTCGAACCTGATGAGATTTACACTATCACACTTAATTCATTAAACTAAAACTATAATAAAAGTTCAGAGGGTCTACTAGGTGGCTGCCTGTCTGTTGTCTCTTGCTGTATTTGGATCCCTTGTAAGGAACAGAAAAAGGGCACAGCATTTCTGTGTTTTATAAGGTAGCACATGTCATAGCTGTGAGCTCGGGTAATCAGTTGTTCTAGGCTTGTGCGGGATTTATTTCCCTATCCTGAGAAAGCCAAGTGAGGAAACTCACAGAGAATACAAACTCTGCTTTGTTTTTGTTTTTGTTTTTTTTTTTTCATTTTGTTTTGTTTTAGCTGTACTGGTGTAGTCCAAGGCCACCTCCAAGGCTTCCCTCTCCCCAAGTCGAATGGCTGCAGGCAGCTCATTATCATGACTTGTGCTGCTGTCTTCAGCATTTTAAAAAGTCTGTTTCTATTTCTTTGGCAATAAGAGCCTAGTCATCTGCACTTGCAACTCTTAACCCTTTTAAAAAGAATTTCTGTAAAAGTCCTCCATCAAGGGCCTCAGCATGGGCTGTACGTGCTCTTGCTGTAAAACAAGCACAACACCTAACTTGATGAGTACCTGGAGAAAACTGCAGCTGCTAGTACGTGCTGGCAATGTCCTTAGCCAGGGCACTCATGTGGGAAAGCTGGATTCTCATCCTGGCTTTATTGCAAGAATTTTGAGAAATACTAGGAAAATCACTGTACGTCTTGCCATTTCTTTTTCCCTTCTATAATTTCCCTCTCTTTTCAAGCACTTTACACTGCACTTACTGGAGAGGCTACTGAGGCTGTTGTCCCTGTCCCTGAGCAATGCCCAGAGTAGAACATATTTTAAGGTCATGGGGTACTGTTTTGTCTACTCAACTGTACGACCCATTCACAATGCAGCATGCCAGCCACCTCTTCTAATGTTATCTTTGAATCCTTGTAAATACTGCAGGAATGTAAAAAATTCATGCCACTTATTCTGAACTGCAGAACATAATTTTTGTGTGACTGAGGCAGGGGTTTGGTAAGTAAATTGCGTATGGAAGAAGACCATACTGCAAGCAGACTGCTTTGCTACCAGTCTAACTTGTTTAACAGTGGGAAATGCTGCCAAAGAGGATAAATCTTATAAAAGCAACTGCAGCAGTCACCCATTGTTATTTCAGCAGTATTGATCATTTAATTGGCTGTTGATGCGGTCTCCTTTTCTTTTATATTAAATGCAAGTACTTGGCTGTAGCATAGCATAAGCTTGTGGAGACTTTGGATTGCCTTTCTGCTAGGCCTCCCTGCTTTACATAGAAGGCCCTGCTTTGAGAGTGTTCATTCACAAAGAGAGATTTTCACCACTCAGAAGTCTGGTGTTAGTTTGCTGTATCCTGGCAATTGGTGCTTTTGTAGCAAGGGTGGCTGAACCTCATGGGAAACTTCTGAGCTGTCATTGTTTATGAGCTAACATATTAAAGGAAATAATCATGGATTTCATGCTGATTTAATATGCTGGGCCAACTATTGAAACAGAACTGCTATATATGTAGTTCCCTAGAGAAATGAAATTTCTTGGAAAGGAGTGAGGCAGGCCATCAGTGTGCTTTAATCTGTATGTGTTTACAAATGGAGTCCATTTTCCTTGTTCTGGTGTTAAGACAGAATGGGAGAGCTGGCCTGCGCTTTGTTTTTTTGCCTTCTCGTGGGAGGTAAGCGGGCTGCAGGAAAAGCAATTGCAAATCCTTGCTGACTTTCCTACCAGCTTTGGGACAAAACAGCAAAGGAGTTGTTCTAACCAAGTAGGACAATAATGCATTGTTGATTGTTCATTAGATGCTTGAAATGAGCATTAGTTTAGTAATGATAGCAATTAAGGGCAGACTTAAAATAACAGGCTTGTTTGTCTTTAAAGTATGAACTTGTGTCTTGATGTTCAATGAAGGGTTTACAGTGGTATGGAGGTTTGGTGAGTAAATTTCGGGTGAGGCGTGTAATGTACACTGGTGGATGTGCATTCCAGCACAAACTGAATAGACTAAGGGGAGGATTTCTGGAATGAATTAAGAACATCCTGTCTGGAGGCCCTTTGTCATTAGGATGTTTGTGCTTTGTTGGCAGGGTAAGTTAACCCGTGTTGAGCTCCCTGCTACTGTGGCTAGACTATTTCTAGCAAGTGAGCTGCTTAGTGTTGCACATTGATACTGTACACTGCAGGCACTGCACTACATTCAGACTGTGTAACAGTGTTGGTAGAGCAGCAAGATGGCGTGTTGCTCAGTCTGGTGTGACTTCAAACTACTAGAAAATGTAAATATTGCAGAGTAAGTCCTGTTCTTAGAAATCAATTAATGCCTTCACTTCCCCATCTCAAAGAGTTTTAAGTGGCTTTCTGGTGAAAATACTTTCTTGGGAAATAGAAAATAAGAGTAAAAATGATGCATTCCAGACTCCATCACTTGGTGTGTTTCTGTGTACCTGGAAGACTTTTATGACATGTTTAATATTGCATCACATCCTCTATACCTACTTTGCAGGTATGTTTACCTGCCTGTTTTTGTTTGCAGTAAAATTTCAAACGTTTTATTTTAGGAACTACATCAATATTTCAACATGCAGTTCAACAGATAAGAGTTGATCCTGGGGCCAGGAGCCTCTGTATTTTTCACTGTTTGTGTTTTGTCCATCTTATAAAAACGAGAAAGGAAGGAAAAAGTGTAACAGAGAACCGAGTTTCTTGACTGTTGCGAGGAATACGAAATCATTTCCTACTGTTATACCAAAAAAGCTTTTGTGTTGTCTTTAATGGAATTAGTCACTGTGCAGAACTTATTGCAGAGATCAGGCAATAGTGAATTTCATTGGTACTGTCCAAGTCACTGAATGTCTTTGATCCTTCAGAAAACAAAATAAAACAAAAAACATCTAAATTGAAATGCCTTCTTTCCAACAGTCCATACACAGTAAAACTTCCTCAGCCTCCTGGTTAAAATCGAAACATAAACAGATTTGGCCCAAGCTTCACTTCTGCAAGAACTTAATGCACACCCATTTTTCAGGACTCTAAAATGTGTACCAATATTGAAAAATATGAATTTTTAGTGAAATCTGAAAGTTAAAATGTTGAAGATGTAAGTCATGAAAGTTTCTATTGCTTCCTTCCCCCTGCCCTCCCCACAACATGCTTACTAGAATAAAGAAACTTGGAAAAACTACTCAGATAAAGCATGACAAAAATTGTCTATTTTGTACAAAGTTTTTTGTATATACATTTTCTGCAACGTTATATTTACTTTCCCAGTCCTACATATTATGGTAATTCTTTTCCATGTATAACGTTCTCATTCTAGATAAGTGTATGTGTGAAAAATATATATACACACCTATATATATATATATAGGTGTATATATACATGTATACACCTATATATACCTACATATATATACCTACACACCTATATATACACCTACATATGTATACCTCTATATATGTAGGTGTGTGTATATATACACACACCTATATGTGTATATATATATTTTACATTTTTTTTACTCCTACCCCTTGTCAAAATTTGAAGTAGGTCTGTAGAATCTCATATTGTCTATGGAATTATGAGTATCTTGAATTTGATTGCTGTTCTCTGAACTGTATCACATCTTTGCATCATTTTGCATTAATAAAGTTCTTGAATGTTACTGTTTATCCTCTGTGGTTTTATCTTTAACTTATATAAGGATATGGCATTTCACTATATTTATCTACCTCTCCATTACAACTTCTTTTTACAGTGGATGCACTAATCTGTCCAGTATCCTGTGACAAAAGATGTCCAGTAGCCAAATTTAGAATGAATATGCTTTGCTCAGCTGATTTGTTCTCAATTACGTCACTGCTCCAGGAAGAAATAGCTGACTTTAGCATTGCATCTTAAGCATATAAGTTCTTTTCTCAGTCATGTAATTGGGAGAGGAACATATTTGGACTAACTGAACTGAAGATTAAAGTTATGGATATTTTAGCTTTTTTATTTATTGCAGGTAATTCAAGTGTATAGTGAAGATGATACTAGCAGAGCTTTGGAAGTACCAAGTGATATAACAGCCAGGGATGTATGTCAGCTGTTGATATTGAAGAACCACTATATTGATGACCACAGCTGGACTCTGTTTGAACAACTTACTCACACAGGTTTAGGTAAGACTAATGCCAGACAATGGTATGGCAATACATAAGGGTTTTTTTGTTTTGTTTTTTAGGTAGAAGTAAAATTTTAATAGAAAGGATTGGAAGAAAAGCCTAATCAAATTTTCTCTCTTCCACAGTAGAGAGAAGAGAAAGCGGTGGGAGGGTTTGTGTGAAGTTTGTAATGTTTTGGGGGTTGCATTGTTTTTGTTTTGAAAGCCTAACCCTAAAGAACGTGCTGTCAGTCCTCTCACGCTGCTTGATCTGCATCTTGTAAGAGTAATTTGGAAGACACCCACCATTAAGGTTCTCACTGCCAATTCCTTCTGGCTCTTGCTTGCTTTTTCTTTGGTATTTTTTCCTCTTTTGTTTGTATCTCCTCCACTTATCTCTAGCAAGAGTTGGGATATTTTCATTGCAAATAAAATCTTTGTTATTCCCAACACATCTGACATCAAGGACAGAAAGCGGTCACATAGTGCTATCCTATCTGGACAATAGGGCTCTGTTTTCAGAAACAACATCCGAATAGGTTGTCAGTATTCTCCTTCAGTACTATCGGTTTGGCTAGATTTATTGTGTGCTCTGGGACAGGGCTACTTAAAGCAAAACAAAACTATTTTTCTAAACTTCCAGTCATGCACCAATACAATTGTATTGAAGTGATTTTATGCTTAGTATGTCAAGTTGCTAAAAATGAAACTCTTGGGTTCCTTCTGTGACATCAGTGTTTTCCTAGTGTAGTAAAAAATATGTCTATTATACAGTATAAAAGTTCTCATTTGTGGCTTCAGATTAGAACTATCATTTTGAATTCTGGTCTCTGTTCCTTTTTGTAATGTACAGACATAACTTTGCAGTATTATCACGTTAAGGCAAATAACTAAAGCATGTTAAATACAGGAGGAAAGGGGATAGGTTTGCAGAGACATAAAAAATGCAGAACACAGAAAAGACTGCATTGAGCAAAGGATAGTTCAGGTGTCTACTTCCAGGATGTAGTATTTAACTGTTATTCTAATTGAACAATCTTATTTCCTTTTACAGCACTACTTTTCAGTATTCTGTTTTATTTGTTTTTGATTGGAGACATCAGAAAAATCTCCCAGAAGACAGATTTTAAAAAGTATGTTTTTAATTTTCAATCACTCAGAGCTTCCATATTAATCTTAAGCTATGGCACTGTACTAGAGGAGTTACCAAAGCTGATACTTCTCCTTCTGCAGCATTCTTAGCTGCCAGTGCAGAAGTGTGTGGCTTGAGAAAGAGGAAGTTTTGGGGCCTTCCTGCATTCTAGAAGTATATGGTAAGCTCCTTGGATGCCGTAAGTCTCAGAAGAGACAAGACTAGTACCCGGTTACTCCAGTACTGTGGGTGCAAAAATAGACTTGAAAGCTATTTTCATGCTACCTCTGTGTGTATTCATCTCGGGAATCTGGACTCATGTATTTATGTAAAATAAGCTTGACTGTGCAGCTCAGACTGTATTATGTTTAACAGCAGTATTTTAAAGATGAACTACAAAAGCTAAAATGGTTTGCTGCCCTTTTCTACTCCTTTATCCTATGAAGGCAGCCACAAATGTTTTTCAAAAAAAATTTTTCTTGCTTTGTATCATTTCAAAGATACTTATAACCTTTTGCACTGAATGTACCAGTTGTAAGATGCTTCGAGCTCACAGTAAGGTCAGAGTTAAATCTGGGTCGAGGCTGTAAATGACTGACTGCTACAGAAAAGGAGGTATAAAAATGGCTTCAGACAACGGTACTATATAAATAGTAGAAGTGTTTTCTGTATTTTATAGTGTGGCTAATGTTTAAATAGTGAAGTAACTACTGAAGAAAACACTTCTGACAAACTGTGCCTGAACAATTGCAGTATTGTTTCTTCAGTTTTGTTTATCTGCACAATATACATCCTGTCAAATAGTGTGTCAATCTAAATGATTTCTTGGATGATTTCAATATCAAATCTTTAGTGAAGATACTTTTTCATAAAATTCTAAACTTGAAAATGGTGGCATGTTCTCTTACTGCTAAATGTTAAAGAGTTTCTTCAATATATCTTATGAACTATGATGTTAAGAAACACATCTGTTCCTTTTACTAAACAAATTACAAGTTTAGGTTGTTTCATGTAGGCCTACTGTTTAGTTTCATCAGTAGGGATATCTGAACTTGCTCTAGAGCCTAGTTAGATCTGAACCAGCAATCTGAAGACTGACTTCTGTCTACAGTCTTTTGATTGGTCCAGCTCCCTTTTGGGTATAATTTTACAGAAAAACAAAATGATCATTTTAAAAATAAATGATTTCTTAGATGATCAGGATTGGAAATCAGCATTACTAGCCAAGGAAAGAAGCAACTTGAGACACCTTCTAGTTTCTTTTCTTAATAATAATTGATTTATTGTCATAATACTGTTGGGGTTTTTTTGTGTCAAAGGTTTAATACATTGATCTTGATTTCCATTAAGCATGTTCTTAGGCGCTGGATGAATAGCCTGAAAAAATACTTTTCAAATGATAATTTAGTTTTGAACTGTTTGCTATGTATAATTTTGTTGTGTCGGTTATGCATAGAAATCTGGACACTCTTTTTCTGTTCCCAAGTTAAGTGAATGAATATTGAAAGGAGAACTACCTTGAGTGACTGTGTCAGTCTGTGTAAATTCCAGTATGATGGTGATTAATAATTCATTTATCAATTAGTGAACATTTTCTTTAATATCTAACAGCTGTCCGAATACTACTGAATTAAGTATGAGTGCATGAATCTTAGGTGAGCTGAGCACAGCGTTCTGCTTCTAATCGAGATGGACGTTAATTACATCACTGGAGTATGCCTCGCTGCTGCCTAGCGGTATCTACATGTCAAAGTTTAAAAAAAACCAACAAAAAACCCCAAACCAAAAAACAACAACAAAACCACATGCAGTTTCCATCAGAAATGTTCATAAGCCTCTGTACCTCTTCATGTCGAACCGCCTGGAAGCCATGAAACG